TCCTGTAGAGGATAATCTTGACTCACTTGATGAATATTCCTCAGATGAAAACGACCCAGATTTCATTCCAGATTCAAATTCGTCAGATGAAGACATTGTTCCAGAATCATCAGATGAAACATCTTTGAGGTCACCAAGCCCGGTAATACCGATTCCATCAAGGGAGTCTTCCAATCATCCAGTTTCTTCTGATGAGACTGTCTCCAGCACAAGTGAAATTGAAGTCATGACAACTTCAAACTCTGAAGGGAAGCGCCACTGGGACAAACCACAGTACTGCCCATTTTGTCTTCAGCAACAGAAGAAACTACCACGCCATTTGACTACACCGATGCATAAAGATGAAACCCAAGTTAAAACTTGGCTGGCCACAACAGATGTGAAGGAAAAGAAGAAACAACTCACACTGATGAGAAACTACGGCAATTTTCTTCATAACTCAACTGTTTTGAAAAAGGGGAAAGGCACTCTTATTGTTGTGTATCGTCCTGGATATGACACGGACCATAATGATTATCTTCCTTGTCAGGACTGTTACGGCTACTATGCCAAGTCAGATTTATGGAAGCACAGATGCAGCCAAAAACCTGATGTTGATTGCTCTGGTGAGCCTTGTGTAAAAAAGAGAAGAACTATGTTCTGCAAGCCAGGGAGAATGCTTTTGCCATCAACACCCGGGGTTAGTGCTAGGACTAATGAAATCTTGTCAAGTATGAATGCCGACAACATTTCCCGCTTGGTCAAGTCTGATGAGCTTATCAAAAGGTTTGCTGACAAGTTGGTAATGAAGCATGGCCACAGCAAAGACCAGGCTGGATACATCAGGCAAAGATTAAGGGAGATTGCACGAATGGTGTTGGAATTTCGATTCTTGACGGGCCAAACAAATGTTGGATTGTCTACACTGATATGTCCTACAAAATTTGTTGCAGTGACTCGTGCAACACGAGTTGCAGCTGGCTTCAATGACGAAACTCATCTGTACAGCACACCCAGTCTTGCACTGAAGATTGGACACAGCATGAAGACTTGTGCAGAAATTCTGCGTGGTGAGGCTCTTATGTCTGGGGATGAGTCGACTGAGAAGCGTTGTAAAGGATTCCTATCACTTTACTCCACACAATGGGAAGAAAAAGTCAGCCATCATGCATTACGTAGTTTGAATGAGGCGCAGCGAAACAATCCAAAGCTGTTACCGTTGACTGAAGATGTGGTGAAGCTATCGCAATATCTGAAGGATGAGGTTAGAGTCAGGGAACAGGTGTTGCAAAGTGCAGATGGCTCAAGAGAAGTCCAAACAGCATGGTCAAGGCTGGCAGAAATTCTTCTCTCCCAAATCATTCTCTTCAACCGAAAGAGACCCGGGGAAGTCTCAAGAATGACAATTCAAGACTACAGTAAGTGCATGAATGGAGAAGACACAATCATTGAAGGTGCCCTGACAGCCTGGGAGAAAGCCCTGTGCAGAGTGCTTTGGAGGGTAGAGTTGATAGGAAAGAGGTCCAGGACTGTCGTTGTACTTCTCACCTCTGACATGAAGCATGCCTTGGATCTTCTCCTAAGTAAGAGAGCTGCAGCTGCAATTAATGATGGCAACGACTATCTCTTCTCAGCTAGATATGGAGAAGGCCACATTAGAGGGACAGATACTGTTCGTGAGCATGCCAATAAGTGCGGAGCCAAACAACCTGCAAATCTACGAGCGACCAGGTTAAGGAAACATATCGCAACAGTCTCGCAGATCATGAACTTGAAAGAAAACGAACTGGATGTCCTGGCTAATTTTCTTGGACACGATATCAGGACTCACCGACAGTACTATCGTCTCCCTCAATCTACCATTCAAGTTGCAAAAGTATCCAAGGTTCTTCTGAAAATGGAGAAAGGGGACATCAGGGGTCTCGCCGGAAAAAGTCTACAAGAGGTTGAGCTCAATCCAGATGAAGGTACACAAAGAAAATTGCTATTGTCAACATTCAAAATAATATCCATGTATCAATGCCCATTTTTGGGAAGTGTGATTTACAAAAACATTTTCAATTTTTTTTTTTAACCTCATCACGTTGACAATATCAAGTGAAATAAAAGAGACGTGTTTTATATCATTCTCTCAGACTACAATACAGATGCTGAGTCTGATGCTGAGTCTGGGTCTGATGCTGAGTCTGGGTCTGATGCTGAGTCTGATGCCGAGGCAGAGGTCAATCAGGTCAAACCACCAGCTAATGGGGACAGACACGGGAAAGGTACGCATCAGTGCTATCAGACACGGCCAATATGCAGTTATCACAAGTATATTTTGTCAATACAAACAAAAAGGTGTACATTTCAATGGGACAGATTTGCAAGATGTGTTGGAACCTATACTGTGAAAACGGCTCACACATTTGTGGGTAGTACGGTCGAGTGAAAAAGAATTATTTTTTAAGTTTTTATTACAAACCAAGTAATTTTTGAAATCACGTTTTTAATTGGGAATCTTGCCAAATCTAGAAGAACTGAATCAATATTTAATACCCTCTAAACGCTAATCCACTTGTTAATCTGTGCTGCAGTTTTAACAAAGACCACATGGTGAATGTGGCTCATAAAGGACTGAAAATACAAGTTGGTGTCGCAATTGTTTACGGTACATGAACCTCTACTGGAGGAAGTTCATTGTATGTTTTGTTTTGATATTTGGTTTGGGGGGGGGGGGGTAAGGGGTTATGATATGGTACACGCAAGTTTTTTCTCTCCAAAATTCAAAACCGATGACTGATTATAAACACACAACAGACAACTCTGAGCAAGACCAGAATAATCTGTCAGCGACCAGCTCGCAGCTGGCATTTGTGCGTGATGTCCACATTTGGCTGGGGTTGGAGCCACTGGGTCGATGTTAGTGAAAATAATATTGCACCTGTGTTCGGTAAATTAATTAAAACATGTTGCGAACGGTTGAAAGATATTGCAGTGATTCGGATGACTGGCTAGCGTTTTCCCTCTCCCATCCACCACCCCACAAAAAAACTACATAGGTGTATGTCTTTTGGTTTATCGTGCAGGCAAACAACCTACAATTAAGAGAGCTTGGAGTAGTAAAGAAAAGAAAGCTGTTGCAAGGCATCTAGGTGGATACCTCCGTGGCCGTACAGTTCCCGGCAAAGCTGCTATCATCAAACTGTTCCAAGCTGAGACTGGCACATTCTCACACAGGTCATGGAAGAATGTGAAGGACTTTGTCAGAAACCAAACAAGAAAAGCAGGACCCAATGTCCTTTCTTGGTACCTAAATCAGTCTAGAGCTGTAGCAACCATCAAATCAATACACCCTTAGGGGATCAATCTCACAATTCCCCTCCCCCACCCCACCCGCCTCCCCCCCCCCCCCCCCCCCCCCCCAAAAAAAATATTTAAATATAGTGGTCGTTTTTGTCAAACTTTTCTAACCAATGATTCTAATGCCCCTTTTTTTTTCCCAAAATAGCTCTACTTTTTCACGTCCACATACCCCGTGATTTTCAAATAAAAAAACAGAAAATAATGTCTGTGTAATAATGATTCCATTCAAATAACAGTGGGACCCTTTTGCCCTGTACATGCTGAAAATCTACTTGAGTGTTAATTCAGTTCACTTAAGATGTTTTTGTTTGCCTAACATTCCTAACCAAAGATGCAAAACTAAACAGTAAGCAGAAGCATATATATTTATAATGGCAGTTTCTCCATAAAAAATGAACGTATGTTTTCAGGAAGAAGAATGTGAGATTGACAATAGGTGTGTTGATTTGACAATGAATTATCGCCATTTGAAAAGGGGTCCCTTTTTAAAAAGGAAAGAAAAATGCAGTTTTAACCTGATTAGACATATTATGTGATGAGAAGTCAACATAATGCATCTGCTCATCCTTTGGGATTCCACAGGTTTTGTATGCCGTATTTGGTGTATCAACTAATCTTTTTTTAACAGCCTTCAAATGATCACAGGAGCCATTCTCTGTATTTACTATTCTTTCCCCTTTTTTGAACGGGGT